GGCACGGCAACGAGATTTGTTCTAGCACTCCCAGCGCAACCATTGCCGGGCACGGCAACGAGATTTGTTCGAGCACCTTCAGCTCAGTTTGAAAAATTGGCATTCGAGCCACTGTGCTGCCCAATCAACCACTCAGCACATGTCAGTACATATCAAGATATTTCACTACAAGAATGCTACTACCTTGGACGCAGGATAGCTCACACTATTCATTTGGTTCCTTGATGTTTAGGAGGTTTGCAAGGAAGCTTGCAATGCTTTGCAACCTGCTCTCTGGCACTCTGGCACAAGGACCTGCTACTCTGCTGTCCTTCAGTCCAAATCTCACAGCGCCAAACGCTCCAGCTGTGAGAACAGCACAAAGTATTGCCTGATCCATCCGCTTCGACCAGCCCAGGTTGCACTTTCCACATAACACAGAATGCCGCTTTAGCAAGTGTGCCCTCCCTTCATCTCTCACTCTCTGTGCATCTAATTCCAGCTGACCAAACTACCGAGAAGAGCACCAATAAATATCAAGAATAATACCCACACACTTTCTTGGGGTAAGGTTTGGTCTTTGATCGTCTATGTCCCACACCCGCCTTCTTCCGTTCCATGTGCCAATCGCTCGGCATAGCCTGGAGAGAGGGTGACGGGAAAGAACTGCGAGGGTCTCTCCTGTCGTTTGAAGCTGTTCCTTCTAGAGACTTGCCGGAAATACTGTCACACAGCCTTTGCAGTGTCATCGCAAACACAAATGTCTGTGCACAAGCCCCAAAAGGATGATCTCTGCCAGTGATTCGCAGCACTCAACTTGGCAACTCTTCGGAGTTCTGGCAAGTGCTATTTCGGGAAAAGGCCAGCCTTTCCAAGGAACCAAGCGGCCCTCAGGCAAAGCCATTGCCTGCCAACAACAAAGGACAAAGGATTACAGAAATCTTAGGTTTTGCTACTAGGGGCTCCTGGCATCGCTACTAGGAGCAAGGACGCTACTAGGCTGACCTTACTGCTAGGAGCAAGGACGCTACTAGGACGCTACTAGCACAGTGCCGCATCGTGTGCCATGATTTTCCGCTGCATGGAGCTGTGCCAGCCGATGAGAGAAGTCGATGGGGCAGGGCAACAGGTTCAGCCAGCTTATATAGAAGAATGGAGAAGGCCAAGGTAACTGTGGATGATGACATTCAGGTTTCCTGACTCACCGTTTCCTGACTCTGTCGTAGGTTTCCTGACTGACTCTGTCTTCTCCCAGGTAAGTGCGCAAAGCATGTCCAAACGGTCTAAGCATCAGACTTTCCCCCTGAACTGCACCACTCGATAGAACTTGGGCAACTCCAGCCTGGAGTGGCTTATGTCTGAGTCCATTAAAGCATAAAACTCAGTACATAAACCGATTCAGCATCTGAATTCCAAGTCTTTGCATCTTAAAAGAATCGATTTGATTTGACCGTCACACCAAACTATATAGCACCTGCATCAAGTCCCTTCTGTGTTGAACCAGGCCACCTGTACTATCGCTCCATGGCCGACAGTGTGGCATCGCTTGAAGCACACAGTGCGGCATGTCAAACCTATTCAACCTCCTAGTAACTCTCTCACAACTCCGGCATCAGGTGTCCATGCTGGTGCTCATCCACCAAAATGCCCAGGTGAAGCACATGTTCCTTGCCAAGCTGAGTTGAGAAGGGGCCAACATGAAAGGTAGGAGAACCAAGGTGGCAGGACTGCGATTCAGAAAGGAATAGGTGCAGCTCTATCGGGTAATGCAAATGAAATGCAAATAGAATGCAAGAAGAAAATGGAATATAGTGTGTATATATATATATAGAGAGCGGATTGCGCTGGGGGGGTGGGTTTTTAATTCATAGGTTTTTTAATGATTTCTAGCTTATTGTTTGTTAATGTACAGATGTGAGGCATTTCCAGATGATTGGAAGCAGATGATGCAGTTGCAAGATGTGTTTCTACTTTCTTTTGTCAGAGCCAGCATGACAGTAAAGAAGATGATTTTTGGAAGAATGCATAAGGATACTACCACAGTCAAATCATCTGCTGCAGACAATGCAAGCAAGGAGTTGGCGCTAAGACATCTCATTTTTCCGCGCTAGTTCTGTTCCAAAATCTAGTTCTAGCAAGCATATGCTTTGCTTACCTTAGACACAGCTTTCTTGAACTTGTTCAAGTAGCTGGCCTTGTTTTCAGCCACAGCTTGGTTGTGCAATTTGGAAAAGTACAGCACCTTAAAAGTGTGGCGAATTGCACGTGCCTCATTCAAAATCCGTGCATAATTGCGAAACCAAGAGAAAACTTGTTCGCAAGCCGACGTATTTGTCTTCGCAAATCGCCGAGACAAACGCTTGACGTAGAGTGGATTGTACACGCAAGTCTTCTTGTGCCTGTGGGCGTGGAACTTGTCAAGGCTCCAATATTTGATTTGGGAGAGGGACTTCTTACTTGCATGAGTCGGTGCGAAACCACAGACACGGTCCATGATGAATCCATTGACTTTCTGGTACAGAGGCAAGACTTTCTCCAACGACTTCTGGACCACTGGGTTGTTCTCCGGCTTGTCCATGGCAACCACACAAAGAATTCGTTGATCCTGCGGGTTGACTAGCATGAACCATCCATGCCCAAAGGGTTTCAAAGAACCGTCTTTCCGAGGTCGTCCTGCATGTGTGGTAGTTTCGCCACATTTGATGTGGACCTTCGAGTGACCATCTCCGACAAGTTCAGTCACTGATGCCCTCTTTTTGGGTGGGAAAGCAACCTTGTGCACATAGTCATCATACTTGCGGAGCGCAGCCTCTGAGATTTCATCTCCAATGACAATGTCTTTCTCGCACCCAATCAATGAGAGCTCCTGCAAAGCCAGCCAGTACATGACACAGTCTGCGTGCATTGCACGGAAGCGAACTTCACTGTGCTCATGGTCAAAAACTGATTTGTAAGCAGCCTCTATGGCTCGAGCGGCCAAGAAGCCTCGAAATTCCAAGGCTGAATGATATTTCAAATAATCCAAGGAGAAGCCAAGCTTGTTGTTCACAAACAGAACATCCGGGACATTCTCCAAAGTGGCTGTGTTGATCTTCTTTCCATCATCCAGCAGGAAGTTAGGTCCAAAAGTTGTGCGGCACCCATAGGCATTGCAACGCATGGTGCGTACAGTCGTTTCACATGGACCTGCCAAGGTGTACACCACAGCTGCCACATCATGCCCTTTGGAAAAGGAACGGTGTCCACAAGGGCATTTGGTGAGTTGGGTCGAATACACTTTCCGAGCTAAGGCTCCTCCAGAAATGGAATACGGCACCTGAAGCAAAGTTGAAGAGGAAGGGATGCCCAGGACAACCTTGAAGAAATAGTACCGTGGATTCAACATCATAGAGGATAGCATGCCGATGGATACTTCCACCTTGTCGTCACCATCCATTTTAATCGCAAAACCTTCTATGCGCTGCAAAGCAAAGAAATGTGAAGCCTGAATGTCAAGAACAACATATTTGCCTTGCGTCAGCGACATGTTTCGGGGGATGATCTGAAGGCTGGCACCGAGTGGACGAAGCATGACACACCCATCAAGAGCTGTAAAAGGACCATCTCGAGGACAAGCAACAGGACACCCAAGGTTCTGCAAGGCCACAACAAGACAAGCATTCTCAAAGCCATCTAAAGATCCATGACCACCCTCAAACTCCAGTGCGTTCTGCAATTCATCATCAAGCTCATCTAGTCCATCTGATTCTCCAATACCAGGGAAATCCGGATTCTGTGGCGGGTCAGCTGGCGTCTTGGGAAGGGGGGGGGCAGGAGTCTCAGGAGTCTCAGAAAATTGGTTTTTTTGGTTTTTTTGATCCTTTGCAGACTTCTTTATTTCCCTAGGAGTCTCAGAAAATTGTTTTTTTTGTTTTTTTTTGGTTTTTTTGGTTTTTTTGGTCCTCTGCAGACTTCTTTA